GGCTGCAGCATGATGAAGTGCGTATTTTCCCTTGTTGTCCTGTTGCATCTCTGCTACAGTATCACGAACTTGAACAATGAGATTATTGACAGCCTGATGGAGCTGAGAGAACTCTACATACTCAACAAAGTCAATATCACATATGTGAGTATAATGTGTTGATATCATCACACGTTTTTTTTGTTTGACACTCTCATGTGTCTGCTTCACTCTCAATGATAGTTAATGTCATAATATGACATTAAAATGAATATTCTGTTCCCACAGACAGACACAGTGCAAGTGCCAACAACATATATGTGCAGAAATGCGGTAAGTATCATATTAACACCATCTGCCCTGATATTGACTTAGCTTTGTTTCTTTTCTTTATGTTGAGCTTCATTCGTGATGACATGTATGTTGTTTGATGTGATTGCCTGACAATTTTGTCATTTTTGCACTGCAGCTTTTCTGTGTAGCTGAATTTAAAAGGGCGCTGAATGGCCTGCTCAAGATGGTGGACATGCATGGCAATCAGAATTTTCTCAAAGCACTTAAGAAAAACGTGAATGCTCTGGAACAACACCACCTGGTAAGCCAACAAAATTACGACTGTGTGATTTCTCAAAAGGCACTGAGCTCTGACTGTCTACTTTATGACTGTTGCATCAGTAGTAGGTATCCAAATAGGACATAATACCAATCCCTCTCTGTTCCTTTTCCAGGTTAACAACAAATGCAAAATGAGACACAACAAAAACAATTCAGATGTTTTCGAACCGTACTTGCAGTTCCTCAGGAACCTAAACAAGTCAAGTAAAAGATGAAGATTCGACTCTCGCCTGTTTTCTGCAGTGCAGCTTAAGCTGATAACAGTTGGAGATATTTCCAGTAGCTTTCACATAATGAAATGACAAATTAATGTATTCAATACATATTTAACATAATAATAACACACGTTTTTCAAAAATGACATCTATGTATTTATTAGTATTATTTATGTATATTTATTTCATTATTTATTTATTTATTTGCAACTGTTGACTTCCTCAGATATTTTATACGATGTATTCAGCTAACTGGATGGGACAAAGTAATATTCACAATGTGAAAAATATTTTACTGTTCAGAAATATTGTGCTGCTGTCTTCAAATAAATTCACTATTTCCATAATTTGTTCTCTCTGAGTGTTTGTAAATCCTTTTGAATTCGAAACCCTATTGAACAGCTACTATAGCTACTTTATTTGGATGCAAAAAGGCCCAGCAAGTAAGAATTGATTCACTCTATATGATGTAGAAATCTACAAATGGTGTGCTAACCCTAACCCTGTTAAAAAAGGCATTAAAGCACTAAAGCAACATTTTCTTTATACATGAACTAAATTCAGTATGTCTACAGACACTTACTGTGATGGTGGGTGAAGAGGTGGAGGAGGAAGTGTTGGAGGTGAAGAGGACACAGTTAGCAGAGGCTCAAAGTTCCCCACCTCCTGTTTGACCCAAAAGTGTGAGGCGTACTGTGAAAGTATGAGAGAAGTGGCTTTACAAGCAAGAGAGTAAAAAAAGAAACAGGCGGACGTAGTGAGCTAAATCAGCGTCACTGAGAATCAGTGTCCTTTTTATCTATTCTACCCATCCGGAGAGGAGTGAGAGTTGACAAGTTTGCATGCCAGCATACAAATACACACATGGACTCATATGAACCCGAACAGATATGCACTCTATGCACAGATATGCATTCAGGCTCATAAAACACTCCGTCGTGCTTTCACTGTCTTAATCTTAGCAGTGTGATTGTGTGCATGTTGCTGGATACCTATCATCCCACGTCAGACAGAAAATAGTGAGGGGTTTTGTCACGACTTGCATTTCGAGAGAAAGACAAAGAGAGAGCAGGTGGTGACTGATGGATTATGTGAAAAACATGTATAAGGGTTGAGGTTTGCTTTATCTGTTTGTCACATCTCACTGTCTGAGTAGAACAAGTGATTCAGTGACACATTATATTGTTAGAAAAGTAAGAGTCAGAGGATCTGACAATCAGCCTGTTTGAGAAACCTGAACTCACTCTCTGTGTGGCACAAGAGCCTTTGAACCGCACAGGACGTGAGAGGAGCAGCAGCAGCTGCATCTTTGAACAGAAAACTAGCAGAGCTGGAGGCAGGTGTAGAGAGTGACGCTCTGAAGTAGGTCCACAATGCACTGCAGTTCTCCTCTCTATCCCTGGTCTCACCTCTGACCTTTAAACTCTGAACCCTGACTAGCTGCCAAGTCTTTGATGTCCTCGAAGCAAGGCAGCAGTCAGAGTTTGACTCAGAGAAAAACACAGGGGAAAAGGGAAGAACATACTGTCTTTCTGTGAAAACATGGAATGACAGCAATAAAAAAAATAATCATAATGAGGAGAGGGCGCTGATATATGACTAACTTGCATGTTTTTGGGCCAATTTTAGATGATTTTTGAAGGGAAGTGGTAAGTAGAGCACTGACACTGGTTAGCTGACATGTTAAACATTTGATTATGTGAAAGATGAAGAGGAATGGTTTGACATTTGGATAATATGCTCAGTGGGAGCTAGGATGAGACATGAGATATTACATGCTAATCTGTGATCTTTAAAGGTGGTGGTAAACAAACTGAACCAGCTGTTTCCTCCGCCTTCCAGGACTGATACGAAAGTGGGAAACTCTCAGCAAGTCTTTCCCAAAATGTGGACATATTCTTTTAAAGGTCTCGTGTTTAATCACTGACCTCTCTCAGCAGACAGTAACATCCCCCAGTATACTGCTGAAAACAAAATTCTTGTATCTTGGTACTCAAAACATCTTGTAAAGACAGTATTAAATAGTATTGCCATTCGCTTTCCTGAATGTACAGTAGACATTTGCATGTTTTTGTGTACTGCTGCTTAATGTGACATTTGCAATAAATGACTCAGCAAAAAAAGGAGTTGTTTATGGCTGCAAATAATACTTATCTGTTATATGTTATACTTATATGTTAATTTGCAGATTACTTTCCTTTAATACATTGACTGTTTTTTTTTACATAAAACTCATAAAATAATGGAAAATTAGGATTTTTTTAATGGATTGACAAATTGATGAATCAACAACTTGTTTCAGCTCTAATGTCCTCTATTTCTTTGTTGCAGAAATACTTAATTTAAAGCAAATTATTTCCTTTAATAATAATAATAATAATAATAATAATGATAACATGGCTTAAACCCATCTATTAAATGTCTAATAGAGTGGATGTTTGTGAAGGAAAAGGGTGAAAGCCGTTTCTTTTCCTCCTGTCAGAAGTACTTACATCACTGTAAGGTGACAGCTGGCATGTCACGATTGTTTCTGCATCCCATGATGCTCTGCATGCAAGATACCAGCTTCAACTGAACTAAAACAAGCAGGGCTATATGCTGACAGATATTGCCAGGGTTTTTACAAGCAGTGCACAATTTATCAGTCAGAAATGATGAAGGTGACACTGGTCTGCCCGTGAAAACTGCCACGAATGGATGAAGTATGTGAGTTTCTGGTCTAATCTCCTGTCTGGGCATAAACCTGTCATTTCATACATTAAACTCCTGAACAGACAGAGGTGAACCCCTTCATGCCACCCCCGAGCTTTATTTCCCTCCTCTGATGCAACTGTTTTCTTTCTCCATTAGGTGGCCTCAGTAACACATTGCTCTGCGTGTTTAGCCCTTGCCCTGATTCAGTTTTATAACCTGCATCTTGATTTCATTAAAGTACACCACAGTGCAGATTTAACTAGGTCAAATTAAGACAAAGCACTGCTAATGGCAAGCGGGTTTAATCGACACTATGATCTTTTTTTTTTAACCTCTAATCTCTAGAGGCGAGGCCACTCGTGCCAAGTTAAGAGTTACCTCCTGTGTCACGCTGTACATTGGGCAGTATAGGAGAACCGGTCGCCAAAGGGTCACATTCACATGCTTTCATCCCTTCTTCTTTTTCTCTTGAATGGGACAACGTCAGAGCGCCGGTGTGAAGCTGAGCCACCGGAGCGCACGGTCACCGGCCGCAGACGCTCACTGGGAGGCTGCAGGAGTCAGAGCTCAGCAAGAGCGGTGATGGCTGAGTGACATTTGAATCCTGCTGTGTGTATTATTTATTGATGCACAACAGTCAGCGATGTGGAGTCCATCGGGGATGTAGTCGGACTGTTCTTTGGCTGTTTGTCGGACATGGAGACTGGAATGCCCTTTGAATGGAGTTTGCGCTGTGAAGTTGTTATTGACGCGATGGGACATTTATTTTGAAATAAATTTTAAAAAATCGGGCTTCAGCTGACCGCGTTTCTGTGAGGCAAAGAGGTGAGTGTGATGATACAGATTGAAAAAGAAAAAGGGAATGTAATGTACGTAAAGAGGTGTGACTCTTGATTAGAGGCGTCCTAATGATTACAACGCGCTCACGGGAAAATCCTGCTCTGACAGCTACAGCCAATACGATATTTTAAATCGGATCATGGTCAATACACAATATGGTATACATATAATCAGAGAGAAACCAAAATAAAATTGAAATATTTTTTAACAGTTTTGCGTTTTTATGACAGCTATGAATACAGCTAAGCCTATATCCAATGTTATATAACTCATTTCTTTAATCCACAGGGCTGCTGGTGACTTTAGTAAACAGACAGAGCATTCCTAAAATTACAGCTGTTACAGCGGACCTACAAACCGGGCAGACAGAAGAGCTCCATTCATTACACTGAGGAATTAAGTTACCACTAACTCTTCAGCACTGCAGCTTAAATGATGTCAAATCTAATTTACAAAGTCAGGGGCCAAATGTCGAGCCCAGAGAGGGATTGCCTCAAGCGTCTAATCCTTCATCTTTCATCAGAAGACACAATGATGGAGATTTTTTTGGCTGGCTGCAGCACAGGAGCCTCCTAGATTTTAATCCTGTGGATATGATGTAGCTCGACTCTTCAGTATGACTTAAATGAACGCTCTCCAACCCACACATGTTCAGGGATGGATCTCAAGAACTTGACAACTGTCATTGACAGTGGGTTTTTGGACGAGGCACCATCGAGCCGCGTCCTAACTGGCTGTTTCCTCTCGCTGCTCATCCTCACCACCTTGCTGGGAAACACTCTAGTTTGTGCGGCTGTCACAAAATTTCGACATCTTCGCTCTAAAGTGACCAACTTTTTTGTGATCTCCCTGGCCGTGTCAGACCTCTTGGTCGCCATCTTGGTGATGCCGTGGAAGGCGGTGACCGAGATCACTGGGTTCTGGCCATTTGGCTCCTTTTGTGACACCTGGGTGGCGTTTGACATTATGTGCTCCACAGCGTCCATTTTGAACCTTTGTGTGATAAGCCTAGACAGGTACTGGGCCATCTCTAGCCCCTTTCGCTATGAGAGGAAGATGACACCCAGAGTGGCCTATGTGATGATCAGCGTAGCCTGGACACTGTCTGTCCTCATTTCCTTCATCCCGGTGCAGCTCAACTGGCACAAGGCCCAAACTAAATCTTACACCCCTCTCAAAGGGTCGTCTGGCTCTTCAGGTCTAAACGCTACATCTTACCAGAGCCCAGAAAACTGTGACTCAAGCCTGAACAGAACCTACGCCATCTCAACATCTCTGATAAGCTTTTACATTCCTGTGGCCATCATGGTGGCCACCTACACCCAGATCTACCGCATTGCCCACAGACAAATCAGGAGGATCTCTGCCCTGGAGCGAGCGGCCGAAAGTGCCAAAAACAGACACGACAGCATGAGCGGAGGGTCCAGCATTGCGGAGTCCGAGAGCTCTTTCAAAATGACTTTCAAGAGGGAGACCAAGGTGCTGAAGACGCTGTCGGTCATCATGGGGGTGTTTGTGTGCTGCTGGCTCCCGTTCTTCATCCTCAACTGCATGGTGCCCTTCTGCGAGCAGTCGAGCGGAGGGGAGGCGTTCCCCTGCATCAGTCCCACCACGTTTGACGTGTTCGTGTGGTTCGGCTGGGCTAATTCCTCCCTCAACCCCATCATCTATGCCTTCAATGCAGATTTCCGCAAGGCCTTCTCCATCCTGCTGGGCTGCCACAGACTGTATCCAGGAGGCCACAACATAGAGACGGTCAGTCTAAACAAGAAATGACTCATGACTCTCTCACAGCACTGACTCATCTTTAATGCTAAGAGTACAAGCATTCCTGTTGAGGCCGGTCTGATCGACTTCAAACAAGGACGCTGCTCTCTGTGCTAACTCTCAGTGTGACTGAAGGATACCGTGACCCTATATGTACCCGTGTTTGCATTAGGCGAGCGGCCCGCCTGTGTGCAGACTATCAGAGCGAGCTTGTCGTGTTCGCCATGGTCACTACACTGTCTTCAGCTGGAAGAAGCTCCTGTAAGAGGAGAGGGGATATTGGGGATTGAGATTAAGACTCTCCGCTGTTGTGCCAGGGAGCTGGGAGTGCAGCAGTGCTGACACGCCTCTGGGATAGATAATCCCATGACTGGGCAGCACAGTCCCTAATGCTGTCAGACACTGCTCTCTTCAATACCATCACACACACGTACACAAACACAAACACTGTCAAAACATGCCCCTCTAAATACAGTGTAGTTGCAGCACTCAGCATGCACACTACAACAAATTACACGACAGCACACAGAAATACCGTTACTCATTACGTTAACATCCTGGGATTCCTGCGGTAATACGTCAAACCAAATCATGTTTCTACATAGATGAACATGTAGATAAAGTCCATCCACAAGCAACATTAAAGCTAGATTGGGAACAGATTTGATCTGACTTGATGTTTTAAAAGAAAGCTCTGAGAAGCGGACACCAATGAAAATAGGTCTGAATTTCTTTTGGAAGTAAAGGTACACAGACATGGAAAAAACAGCTTGTCAGTCTGCAGGTTGAAATGTCAACCCATTACAACTTTAAACCAAATTTACTCAACAGATGCCTCATAAATTATTTGTTTGACTGCTTGAAAGTGTTTTATGGATGAGTGTCTCATATTACTTTGTGTGTCCTGTATTTTTCATAAACAACAGCTGATGACCTCTTTTATGGAAAAGGCAAAGACCTTAACAAAGGTTTTGATTGACTTGTGGTGTTTTTGAATGTTCTGTTTGTTTTGGGGCTGAAACAGAATTGTAATTGATTGAGTCATGTTTGAGCAAATCTGTTTTAATTTGCTCTTTAAAGTTAATTATTAAAGGTGAATGTGGGTTTATTACAACTTGGATTTTATTTTGATAGGTTTAGCTATGATTTCTATTTATTATAATTACATTGTTCTCCCCAAAAGTAATCGCTGAGGAAATCTGGGAAACACTGACATCACCACAATGAAATCCGACAAGGCAAGAAACACGAGCAGACAAATGATCAGGCAAGAAGTAAACCAGCCCAGTTTGGGCAGATTACTGAAGCCATTTGGAGGCAAACTCGCAATGTCACTAATAACCCTTGATAGCACAAGAGAAAAAGAGAGAAATGGAACCCTTGCTGTAATGCAGCTGTAGTTTACAAAGCCATAAGAAAGCCTTACCTTTATCTGTGATTTTTCGAATCCAAAATGCTTCCTCACGTTTGGAAAAGCTTTCTACATTTAGCATTAGAAAAAGAACAAAAATAGCTCAGTTTACCGAGGGCAACAGGACATGCTTACACACTGTGAATTTTTACTTCAATTAAATAACTACAGATGGAATTTTTAATAATTTCGCTTTGGATGGTAGTTTTAGTTTCAAATAAAAAGTGACAGCCCTAGTGCACACAACTAAAGTATGTGTGTCAAAGTGGAACGAGGTTCATGTTTGTTTTGTTTGTTTAAAACCTGTGATCTGATTATCTGACTGCACTTCTTTGTCTCGTCAGATGCGTTTGTAGAAATGTCTCTGTGTTCCCAGATCTCAGAAGATAAATAAATACTTTTAACCTTTTGGAAGAAAAACCTGTTAGCTATCCTCCTGGCGTGTCTGGCAAACTCACAAATCAGTTGAGATATAATGCGTTCATTAGTGAGTCATAGAGGTGCTGGTACACTTTTTTCTAAAGATCTTTGGACAGAGCCAAGCTAACTGTTTCCCCTGCTTCCAATCTTATCTTAATGCTAAGCTAAGCTTATATAAGACCCAGGAATGATCCTATAAAGAGAGGCATGGCATGGTGGAGTATTAAGAACAGGATGCACTGCCTTCATCATTAGCAGTTAATTTGGTGTAATGTATTTATTTTGAAGTGCTAACTTACTTTATCAGGTAGCTGCAGTGAGCATTAATGACACAAACAAAAATTGTCGGTGTGTGTACTTGGCTATAAACAATCTCTCTCTAGAACATGCAGTTGTTATGAAGGTGTGACCCCTTGCATACATGTTATTATGTCACATTCATAACAGTATAACCCATCAGAAGAAACAGCGCAGGGTCTGTTTTAGCCATCTCAGTGCTCAGCTTAATAAAAGTGTATTTGTGCATTTTGATGAAATCCACTGTGAGTGTGTGATTGGCTGCGCAGCTTTGACCTCCACACAACAAACTTCCTGAAGCGCATTTCACACCAGAAAGGGTAAAACCTGATGGGACCAGCTGTGTCTCACAACCAAAATTTCACTCTCACATAACTCTGGTGTTCATGTGTGTGTTCAGTCTGGTGACGTCATTAGCAAAGTGAAAGGCCCAATCTGGAGTCGTGAATAGCCTGGTATAATAAGGTAGAGCAACCACTGTGACACCTCTTCATCCCTACTGTCGGTTTTGTTTCTGTTATTCGTTGCATTAAAGTTGTTTTAAACCCTCACATGATTGACTGGGCTCTTGAAACAATACCTGACAACAAAACATGATTTTTGGGTCATAACTAAAACAGGGAGACATGGGTGACTGTAAATTTCCATTTGCAGTGGTTGGAATACATCTGTCACAGGAACTTACACGCCCTGATCTATTCAGATACTTGAAAGGGGGAGAGAGAGGGGGAGATCGAGGTAGTTGTGTGAAGGTAGAGCAGAGCAGCGACAAGAATATGTGATGGATTATATTTTGTTAAGACCCAGTTAAACATTCCCCCACAGATCTGCCTGCTGATTCTTAAATGATAAATGAAAATCTATGTTGAATTGGCACCAATTTGATTTTTGTTTATCCAAGCAAATGAATATCTCTGTCGATGTGTCTGACATTCCACAACCATACAAATGTGAATTTGATGAATTTTGGTGTAAGTAGTTGCTTTGTCTTGTCAGATGAGCATTTTAAAATGATTACAGAGTCATAAATGACTCACATTAAACAGCAGGATTTAGAGGACGGATCTTTTAATCAAATTAACATCATGCTCATTAGAAATATGAAAAAGTTTAAATACCCTGATGATAAGTCTTTCTCTCTCGCACAAAGACACACACACACACACACACACACACACACACACACAGTTGTCCTTTAAAGCCCGCTTTCTCTGGGCCCCACACTGTCCTTGCCTCTGTGAAACCTCCTCAAGCGTGCCACGGGAAGGGAACAGCAATTAATTTGACTGACATCATTCAGAGTGATGGCTGAGGTGGCGACAAGACAGGGTGTGTGTGCATGTGTGGGTGGATGTCTGTGTGGTGCAGCGCAACTATCACCTGCTCCGGCACCCGACCCGGAGTCCCTGCAATGTCAACTGCACTCTGTAAACACAGAGAATTTGTTTCCTTTTTCTTTTCTTTTTTTTTTCCAGTGGAGCTTGTGAGATTCTCAAAGCGATACTGTCTTTTTAGATTGGCACATCGAAGAAGTGATATTCGACGTGGCAACTTCAGATGATGCTAATGACTGGCCCTGGGGAAATGATTTGCTGAGACAGAGAGAGAGAATGGGGCAAGGAGAGAGACAGAGTCTTATGTAAGTATCAAGCAATGGCAACTTAAAAAAGAGACTCCAAGGATGCTCTCTAAATATCACATAGTCCACGAGTATCACCAAAGTCAGACTGCTGTCACATCTATAATGAAGCATCCTCTGTGGCCACACGCTGTTTGCTTATAGACAGGCACACCTGTTCATTTGAAAGTGGATTTTTAATGTAGTTAATGTTTTCCTTATCTCCCTCTCTCTTCAGGAGGGATCTTGGGGAATTAAAATGCAATCACGAAAACAGTTTGCAATAATCTGTATTACTCTCCATTAAATATGTATTATTCACAAGTGGCAGAGCTATCATAATTGCACCAGAGCCTAATGCATTTTTAATACCTCACATGACACAAGCATAACTGAGAGTGAGCGTGTTTGTGACTCCAAAGTGCGTCAATACAGTCACATTCTGACAGACATGGATGCATTTTGCAAGTTGAAAAATGCCGTCGCTCCGTTTGCCCGTGTCTGGTCTTCATGGTGAGGTAAAAAGAGAGGGAGAGATCAACAAGACAAGCACGCACCTGGGCACGCACTTATTCATTCAGGGGAAATTTGTTCATGCGAGGGGCCAAAGAAGAATATCTTTTGTAAGCCGCAGAAGAAATTCAAAAAGTATGTAAACACATATCTGATTTTACAGTATAACAGGCTATTTCATCCAGAGCTTCAAAAATATATACATAAGCCTGTGCTGGAGACCACCCTGCATATCTTTTGACCTTTAGTGTTCGCCCTTTGCGGCAAGCCCCTCCATTCCTCCTCCTCCTCACACCCCTCTGCTCTCTTCCTCCGCCCTCGCTCTATTTACTGTATGTGCTGCGGGCCGCTGGCTGTGCTGTGTTGCCATTTGTCTCTCCAACTGGCTCCAACGAATGGAGCTCCTTTAATTTGTCAGTTCCTTTAATTTGTCAGCAATCTGCGATTGGCAGGAAGTGAGAGTGAGTGAGCGCAAGAGAGGATACTGTTGCACATAAAGGTAGAGCAGAAGCAACAGGCTTCATGATGAGAATGACACAGAAACTGCCAAGTAAACATCCTCATTAATCCACTTAGCTAACTACCACTTTCACATCTCACTGCACTCTCTCTCTTTTATATTCAAAAGCCAATGGCCCCTTCATCTGTTTTTCTCTTTTTTCTATATGTGTGGCTTCTTGTTTTCCTCAGAGTGCCTATATTGTTGCGTAAATCACCTCAAATAAATCTGAGAGAATGTACTTAGTTTGC